CTGTGATGACTGGAAAGTAAAAGCAGAAATAAAGATAAGTATCAGCAAAGGATATTCCTTTGTGATATGTCATGGATGACTCATCCTATGACAATACTCCCTCCTTCAGAAAGAACTTGTCCTCAAGGATTAAACAAAGGGTACTTGGAGCTGAAGTCTTTGTAGAACTCCCAGGTTGCCGTAGCAGGTGTCTCTCCTTTCCATTGCACTAAGACCTTTGTAGCAGCGGTGTTCTGGTGTTTAACTGTCTTAGTTTCCAGTATTGCTGCAGGTTCTTTTGTGACGCCAAGATCAAGCCAGTATTGAGGGATAGCAGGAGCTGAAGTAGGAGGGTTAGGACATAGCTTCAACTGACTCACATGAAAAGTATCGTGTATGGCAGCTGCTGGGGGTAGAGCTAGTTTGTAAGCTGCAGAGCCGATCCTGTCAATCTCACGGAAGGGACCGTAAAAACGTGGTGATAGCTTGTGGGGAACCTTCCGTGACTTGAGTGTGTTCTGACGGTAAGGTTGCAGCTTCAAGTAGACATAGTCACCAACGCTGAATTCACGGTGGGAACGGTGAGCATCAGCATATTGTTTCATCCTGTTTTGAGCTCGGAGGAGATGAAATTTGAGCATGTTAATCATCTCTTCTCTTTTCTGCAGGCTACGGTCCACAACAGGTGAGGAGCTTTCTCCTGGGAGATATGGGAGGTGAAGCGGAGGAGGTTGACCATAGATGATCTCGTAGGGAGTGGACTGGATAGCTGAGTGGTAAGTCGTGTTGTACCACCATTCGGCAAGGCTCAGCCATTTGCTCCATGAAGCAGGTGCCTCTGCAGTCATACAACGCAAGTATGTTTCCAAGGTCTTGTTTGTTACCTCAGTCTGCCCGTCTGTTTGAGGGTGATAAGCGGTTGAGCGTTTAAGGTCAACTCCTTGGACTCTGAAAATCTCTTTCCATACTTCACTGAGGAAAGTAGGGTCTCGATCGCTTACGATATCTCTTGGCATACCATGTAGCTTGAAGACGTTATCAAGGTAAGCTTGAGCAACCGTGAGAGCAGTGTAGGGGTGGGAGAGAGCAATGAAGTGAGAGTTCTTGCTCAGACGATCAATGACAACTAGGATGCAACTCTTTCCATGGGAGTTCGGTAAGCCTTCAATAAAATCTAGACTGATAGATTCCCAAATACCAGCAGGGATGGGTAGTGGCTGTAGGAGGCCAGGTTTAGCGGCGAGATCGTACTTGTTCTTCTGGCAAATTGAGCAGTTGCGTATGTAGTTCTGCACCTCGGTGTTCATTTTTGGCCAGTAGAATAGAGACTTGACGCGGTGCAGTGTAGCATCTCTTCCCGAGTGTCCTCCAATGGCAGAGTCATGAAGCCATTTCAAGATATGTAGTTTAACGTCAGAGTCTTTCCCAACCACTAGCTTCCCTTTGCGTCTTAGTTCTCCGTTGGTTAGTGTGAACTTAGGATGAGAGGTCTGATCAGCCTTTAAATCAATGATGATCTTGCGGAGGTGAGGATCAGTTTCCCATAGCAGTTTCAGAGAGTTGTAGAAGCCGGAGTGAGCTTGAGAGAGTACGATGCTCAGTAGTTCAGAACCAGATACCCTTGAGAGTGCGTCTGCGACCACATTATCTTTCCCTTGCTTGTAACGTATCTCAAAATTGTAACCCATCAACTTGGAGAGCCACATATGCTGGAAGGGGGTTGATATCTTTTGCTCCATAAGGTACTTGAGACTGCGTTGATCAGTGTTGATGATAAAGGGTCGGTGAGCAAGGTAAGCATGCCAAGACTGAACTGCGTGTACCACTGCCATCAACTCTTTTTCGTACACTGAGAGGTTCTGGTGTCTTGGACCGAGGGCACGACTTATGAAACAGATAGGGTGGTTTCCTTGCATGAGTACAGCACCAATACCAGTGTTGGATGCGTCAGTCTCAACAACAAATGTTTCCTCGAAGTTTGGTAAAGCGAGTACCGGGGTCGAGCTCAGTGCAGATTTTAATGCCGTGAAAGCATCATTGGCCTCGGGAGACCAAGAGAAACCATCCTTCTTTAACAGCTGGCTTAGAGGTCTTGCAATGGAGCTATAACCTTTGATGAAGCGTCTGTAGTAATTTGCCAATCCCAAGAAACCCCGAAGTTGCTTCTGTGTCGTAGGGATTGGCCAGTTCTTGATTGCTTCAATTTTCTTAGGGTCGGTGCTGACGCCGGCTGCGGAGATGAAGTGGCCCAAGTACTCTATCAAGGTAGCTCCAAAAGTACACTTGGAGAGTTTAAGGTAGAGTTGCTGTTGTCTGAGGATGTCGAAAACCTTGTTGAGATGTATTAAGTGTTCTTCCCATGTTTTGCTGTAGACAAGGATGTCGTCGAAGAACACGAGCACAAACTTGCGAGAGACCTGTTGAAAAACGTGATTCATCAAGCTCTGGAAGGTGCATGGCGCGTTGGTAAGACCAAAGGGCATGACGAGGTACTCGTAGTGACCGTTGTGTGATTTGAAGGCCATTTTGTAGACATCATCCTCAGACATTCGGAGTTGATGAAATCCAGCGCGCAAGTCTAGTTTGGAGAAGTACTGAGCTCCACCTAGCTCATCCAAGAGGTCTTCAAGCAAAGGTATCAGATATTTATCCTTTATAGTCTGCTTGTTAAGTCCTCTGTTGTCGACACAGAGTCTCCACGTACCATCTTTCTTTTTAACAAGCACGATAGGAGAGGCGTAAGGGCTAGAGCTATGTTGGATTATCCCTTGGTCCATCATTTCTTTAATCATCTTGTCAATGGTATCCTTTTGCAGAGATGAGTAACGATATGGACGCAGGTTGACTGGATTAGACCCATTCAGGAGAGGAATTTGATGATCAAACCCTTCGCGGAATGGAGGTAGTGACTTAGGCTCCTGGAATATATCAGAGAATGAGTCGAGAAACTGTTGAAAACCAGGATCATCAGCGTGTGTAGGGGCTGAGGCAGAGATGTGAGAAAACATCATGGCAGGTTGGAAATCAGGGTCAGTATCCAGGATGCCGTCTAGCTCACGTAATTGTAGTAGAGCAATTTGAGGTTCTTGCAGCATGAGTTTATCCAAGCTGGAGCCTTTGATAACCTTGCCTCCGGATTTGTGTACGCCACGTAGAACATGTTTGGTACCAAACAGTGTAAACTCCATCCTTAGGTTAAGGAAATCCCATAGTATAGGGCCCAAGGTGCACAACCATTGAACTCCAAGCACAAAATCGCAGCAGTCTAAAGGGACTGTCCGGATTTCTGTTGTGAAGGAGGAGCCTTGAACTGTCCAGGTGAAAGTGGAGCACTTATAGTGAGTGAGGAGGGTATCACCAAGAGCTGCTTTAACGGTCATAGGACGCGTTGTTTCCAGTTGGCAACCAATCCGACTTGCGGTGTTGATGTCCATGAAGTTGTGAGTGCTGCCGGGGTCAACCAATATCTGTAGCTTGTGTTGGCCGTAGTGGCCTACTAGACGCATACAGTTATAAGACGTGGAGCCATTTATAGCATTCATGGAGAGAACTGGTGTTTCGTCTGGTTGAGCAGACTGCTCGAGAGCTGTCTGTGGCGTAGCATCTTGATCATCAGCAGAAGAACTATCGTCAGAGTTGGATTCAGCGTCGTCACATTCCATGACGTAGATTTGGGATCTTTTGTGTTTGAGTTGGGATTGAAGGGAGCTTTTTGGTTGCGGTGTGGTGTGTGGGAAAGGGAGGATTCATGGAGCATTGCGATTTTGGCTGCTTGGGCTAGGGTTGTAGGGTTAAACTGTCTAGTGTGTAGGGAAAGGTGGGGGTTCATGTTTGCAAGGAAGACGCTTAGTGCGTGAGCTTCAGGTAGGACTAGTCCTATTCTTGCGGTTTCAAATTTGTCTAAATAGACTGTGACTGTATCACTTCCTTGTTTCAGGTTTACTAAATCAGCAAGGGGATCGTCATAAAGTTCACTGAAACGGGAAGATATGGCTACAACATATTCGGTCCAGGAGGGAAATTGTCCGTACCTAGTGCTCATGTAGTTGTAGTGCCATTCTGAAGCTTTGCCGGTGAGATGCATCGCAGCAAGACGCACTTTGAGGTCAAGGGGTGTGCCGTCAATGTCGAAGAACTGCTCACACTTGGAAAGCCAGTCTCTGAGCTGCGTACCGTCGAAAGGTGGAAACTTTATCCGTGTGAGACGTGAGGATAAGCCACCGTTTTCGTATCTCTGGTGTGGGCCGTTCAAATCTGGTGGGTCTGGTGGTCTGGGAGGGGTGAGGTGGAGGGGTGTGGGTGGAGCGGAGGGGCCGGGGTCGGCTGGTGCTTTGCCAGCGGCGGCTTGAAGCTGAGGAATATTGTTGAACATCAGCGCTTCTAACCGGTCAAAACGTGTGTCGAACGAGGCAGATTGGCTTTTGACTTCAGCGGCTAGCTGCTCGTAGGAGGAACGAAGCTCATCAACTTGTTCGGTGAGAGATCTTTCTTGGAGTCGAGTTTCCACCATTGTTGCAGGTCCGAGAAACGACAAACTTCTGATACCAATGAAACAGAGAAGGTAAGTATGGAAGATAAACCCAAACTAGGAACTAACCAATAGTTCTAAGAATGGAGAATACTAGTCTAGAAGGGGTTTTAGCCTTTTAGGTTTAGAATAACCACCTCGAAGATGCTAGATTCGTATATGGAGATAGAGCAGAGTTGAGAGGTTTTGGAAATGTTTATTTTTCTGATTACTTTTTCTTCTGCGAGTGCAGGTACTACATATAGAAGAAGACAAAGTTCACTAACGGTCTAAAACAAGTGACCTGTGATGACTGGAAAGTAAAAGCAGAAATAANTGAGAGGTTTTGGAAATGTTTATTTTTCTGATTACTTTTTCTTCTGCGAGTGCAGGTACTACATATAGAAGAAGACAAAGTTCACTAACGGTCTAAAACAAGTGACCTGTGATGACTGGAAAGTAAAAGCAGAAATAAAGATAAGTATCAGCAAAGGATATTCCTTTGTGATATGTCATGGATGACTCATCCTATGACATGGTATCATTTATATGGTTATCTGGCCTTTAGTTCTTCGCGAATCCTACTAGCCCTGATATATTTATACAATGCACACTGCTGCAGGTCTTGACTGTAGGCCAGAAAGCTACATTTGAGTATCATGGAACTAATTACATTCTTACCGTCAATCGAGCGGATGTAGAGGGTCAGAATCAAACTAATGGCATCGAAAGAGGGATGCTTTGTCAAGATACATATATTGTGTTTGAAGCATCAAACGCAAGTGGCATAAAGGTCTGATTTTGATGAATTCCCTAAAGCTATATGTTGTTTATCAGTTACTCGAATTCCTATAGATTGATGAGTGAAATCTTACATTTGAAACAGTAAACATAATATCATATCTGATGTTTGCTATTTTATGGAAACAAATGTATCATTTTTAACTTGTACGTTCTTATGCAGATTGTTAACCAGCGGGAAGCTGCTAGCAGCAATATATTTAAACATAAGGAATTTAATCTCGAGTCGCTGAGCATAGGAGGTCTGGCCATCTGGGTGCGGAATTTGCTGATATATTTAGAAGAGCTTTTGCTTCTCGGGTATTTCCTCCTCATGTCACAAGCAGGTTCTGTCATTCATCCATTAAGTTTTTATTTTTCTTCTGTATATATTTTTCTTCTAAGTTTATATTTTGCAGACTGGGTATAAAGCATGTTAAAGGGATGCTTCTGTTTGGACCCCTGGTACTGGCAAAACCCTTATGGCACGGCAAATTGGAAAGATGTTGAATGGAAAAGATCCAAAGGTATTTCTGTCCCTTTGCATATGCCCTCAAGAGAAGTTATGATAACTTACAGGCTTGTAGTCCTTAATCTCATACTTTCTTTACACTAGTTCTTTTATCCAGGATTTTAATGCATTTATACACCTAAAAGTTTCATCGTTTGTGAAGATTTTTGCTACCATGATTAGATTGACGCTTTTGCAAGAACTTGTTGTTGACTCCTTAATTTTCTAACTATTCAAACGTTGGCAGGCTAGCAGCTACACTTTATTTTAATTATTTTCAACAATTACTTAATACCTTTTAATGTTTGATTAACTTTGTTTCTTTGTTTATTCACTGCCTTTTTCCAGAAATTGACATGTGTAATGCTGCTGTTGCTCTTTTTGGTGCGTAATATAATGGTCCTGAAGTGCTGAGTAAATTTGTTGGTGAGACAGAAAAAAATGTAAGAGACTTATTTGCTGATGCCGAGCAAGACCAGAGGACCCTTGGTAAGGAAAAATTGTTTTCCCTGCTCTGTGTTTTGTGTTTTCTTTTTCCTTACGCATATGCTAATTGGACACTCTTATTTTAGTTTCTCAGGTGATGCTAGTGAGCTACATGTCATTATTTTTGATGAAATTGATGCTATTGGTAAGGTATACGACTTTTACCTTTACAACAAATTTATTTTGCTAACTTGAAGTTGTAAAAATGCTTTAATTTTGACATTCCTTCCGGGTAATAGAGTTTATATATTGATTACTTTCATGGGATCCGCTGGTTATAGGAGTTAGGAAAATCATTTTGAAATTGTATGCACTTTCGTGATTTTCAGTCAAGAGGCTCAACCAGAGATGGCACAGGTGTCCATGATAGTATTGTGAACCAGCTTTTAACAAAGGTCAGTCAAAGATCAAGCTAATGTCTGTTTATTTGTTGTTTTCACCGATGTGCCTAACACTTCTTTTTCCAGATATATGGTGTGGAGGCCTTGAACAATGTTTTGCTTATTGGAATGACAAATAGAAAGGATTTGCTTGATGAAGCTCTTTTAAGGTATCTCTATTCTCGTGGTGATAATAAACGATGCTGTCTCTTGTACACTCAGTTACATAACTGGAACGTTCTGAAGTAGTTTAAAAACTTATTTTTCTTTATTGTTCCTTTGAGAAGATACCATCCCAAAGCGTATTTGCGGCTTAGATCAGTTTCTATACTGAGTAGTGCCGACAACTTTAGACCTTTAATTATTATTGTTTTGACTACAGGCCTGGAAGATTGGAAGATCAAGTTGAAATAAGCCTTCCGGATGAAGCTGGGCGCCTACAAATTCTTCAGATTCACACAAACAAGATGAAGGAAAATTCTTTCCTCGGTCCTGATATCAATCTCCAAGAGCTAGGTATGGCTTATAGATTATACTTGTTCAATTCATGGAATGTTTGTTAGTCATGTTTCCGTAATTCCGATATAACTAATTAAAAGAAACAAAAGAAAGTTCTCTTGTATACTGACTTAGATACATACTGGCATAATTGTGTCACTTACATGATATGAATTGTCTTGCAGCTGCTCGAACAAAAAATTACAGTGGAGTGGAGCTTGAAGGTGTGGTTAAAAGTGCTACATCATATGCGTTAAACAGACAATTAAGCATGGATGATCTTACAAAGCCAGTTGAAGAAGAGAATATTAAGATCACTATGGAGGATTTCCTCCATGCAATCCATGAAGTCCAGCCTGCCTTTGGAGCCTCCACAGATGACCTAGAGCGCTGCAGGTAATTGTCAATAATAAGTTTGTGGTGGTCCAGACGATTTTTGATATTTTCTTGATGGAATGGGTCTTTGCACATAAGATATGCTAATACGAGTTTCAAAGCCTAACTCAAATCCTCTTATTTGTTAAGAGTTATGTTCTGAAAATGCAGTTCTAAATTTTGTTACCTAGGGACTTGCTTTTCTTATGTAGGAAAATTTCATGAATTTCTGAAACTCTAATTAGAGAACTAGTTTGTGAAACTGTAGTTAGATAGAATGGGACTTTTGAGTTGATCTAAACTGGTCTCTGTTTATTGTTGTTGTTCCGTGGTCCACTTGGCACGCATGTATTGTATGCCTTACCTCTGGATTTTGATATACCAGTGCATTAATTTTGAATATTCTGACAGACATATATGCAGACTCAATGGGATGGTGGATTCTGGTGATAGGCATAATCACATTTACAAAAGAGCTATGCTTCTAGTTGAGCAAGTTAAAGTTAGTACTAGAAGTCCTCTAGTCACTTGCCTTCTCGAGGGGTCTAGTGGAAGGTATCTTTAGTACTTTATAGCTCACATTTTTTTCTGGCTTGCTGTTTTACAAGATTTTAAGAATTTTTATTTTCTGGACAGTGGAAAAACTGCGTTACCTGCAACTGTTGGTATCGATATTGACTTCCCATATGTTAAGATTGTAAGTATTGGTCTCTATTTATAGAGTATTTACACCTTACCATTGTTTTCTCTTTGTGTGATATTGATTCGTAGGTCTCTGCGGAGACTATGATTGGTCTTCATGAGAGCACAAAATGTGCTCACATTGTCAAGGTCTGTGCTTTCGAGAGAACTCTTATATGTTGTAATTTTGTTCTACCAACTAATGAATCTATAATGGTGGGAATGAGACAGGTGTTTGAGGATGCATATAAATCACCAAAGAGCATCATTATCCTTGATGATATTGAAAGGTTTTGTTGTTATCGTCCATTTGTTTCCTTACAGAACATGCCTCCGGCTCAGTACATTGAATTTCTGAAATTGCAGATTGTTGGAGTACGTAGCGATCGGTCCTCGATTTTCAAACATTATTTCTCAGACGTTGATGGTCCTTCTCAAACAGCTTCCTCTTAAGGTGCTTCTTCGTTCACCATTTTGTTATTTTCTTTCTTTATGCTTTGATCATCACTTACAGTCAAAACATCTCTAAATTTGGTTGTTGACAGGGGAAGAAACTTCTGGTGTTTGGGACAACAAGTCAACTAACCTTCTTGGATTCTGTTGGCATCTGTGAGGCTTTCTCTATCACTTACTCTGTTCCAACATTGAGAACAGAGGACGCAAAAGAAGGTAAAAAAATGGTCCTTAGTAACTCATCTTCTCCTTGGTTCCATTACCCATTGATTTCTGGATTCTTGAACTGGTGCGTTTGTTTATCAGGTGCTGAAGCAGCTTAACGTTTTCTCAGAGGATGATGTCGAAGCAGCTGCTGAGGCTCTAGATGACGTATGTCTATTACCAGAAATGAAGAACAATCTTTTTATGTTTTTTTTGGTAAACAATCAGGATGATGCTGAAGAACAATCTTTTTATGTTTCATGCTAACTTCTAGATTTTATACTTTGACTTTGCAGATGCCAATCAAGAAGCTTTACATGCTAATATAGATGGCAGCCCAAGGAGAATACGGTGGATCAGCAGAAGCTATCTAGGCCGGGAGAGAGAAAATCAAGCTCACTCATTTCTTTGATTGCCTCCAAGATGTAGTCCGATTCTAACAACTTACAACATGTCGTTTCATTTGAACCGCTGCTTCCTTCATTAGCTCGCCTTTTTTTTTTTTTTTTTCCTTTTCTGAGTGGAGCTTCTGGAACTTGATCATGTATTTGGAAATCATTGTTATTCTTTGGAATTTTAGTTCTTTGGGTTGGTGTAAAAATGTGATCGGATAGAACAATGTCACACCTAATAATTTGAGCCATAGTGTAATAAATAAAGAGACAATTGGTGTAATTTACCTAACGAAGATCCAAATTGGCCGAATGTCCATGGTTGTGGATAATCCAAAAATGAGTAACCTTTTGACACTGTACAGACGAAAATGCCCTCTTACTTTATCGAAAACATGTAACTCTAGATTTAGCGGATACACATTATGTTAACTAGAACACTAAGAGATATTTATCAATTTTAACATGATATAAAAATTGTTAGAAAATTGACAAAATTTTAACATGCTACAAATTTTGTTATCGGGTTACATCTATTTATTAATATGTTAAATAAATCGCTAACAAACAGGTTAGCATGTTAACAATACTATTATCATAAAAATACATATATTAACCGCTAATCAATTATCTATCAAATAGCTCTATACCTATTTGTAACAGCTAACACTCTATGTATCGGTTACAAATTCATTAAAATATAATAATAACGGGTAAATAATGAAATAGCTGCTAACTTACGTATTATCCAAATAAAAGAATGTATATTTCAAGATTTGAAATTGGAAATAATAGAACTAGTGTGAGATAATAACATTAGCAATATGGGTGTCAAAAGAATCAGAGTAAAAAATAGAGATTTATGATGAAAAAATGAAAGCATAAATATGTCATGTGTGAGAGATAAAAAGATTAGAAGATAGAGAAGAGAAGAAAGAGAGAATGAGATAGGGGTATAATGGTCAGACAAAATAGTTTCTATTTTGGAAGGTAGATGGCAAATATGAGGTGTATTTAGGGACAATCCCACCAATTTCTGATAAATAAAAGATCGGATTTAACGTGGAAAACCCAAAAAATAAAGTGGAAAACCTAAAGAACAAAAACCACCCCAAAAAATAACTTGAAAAAACCAGTGTTTTGAAAACCGATCCGAACACTGAACCGGATGACTGTCCAGGTCACCGGGTCATTGGGTCGACCGTGGATGAACCGCGAGTTAATAAATAAATAAGATTTATAATATAATATTATATTACATATAAAAATAAGTATATATAAACTAAAAATCATTATTTTCTATTTTTATCAAACATAAAATAATTTTTTGGATATGTATATATTTTATTTTCAAAACATTTAGAAAATATTTAATTTAGTTAATATAATTTCATTTGACATACAAAATATTAAAAATAGTTTAGATTATTTTTAAACAATTGTAACAAGTTAAGATTTTGGACATCTAACAAAAACGATCAGGACTTTTAAATTCATAAATATTTTTATATGTATAATTTTAATAATAAAATTAAACTTCAATCCAAAAAAAAAATCAAAGTAAAATCATTAATAAATTATCTATAACAAAAAGAAAACGGCAATAAAACTGGAAGAAACCTAGATTTTAATTGGAAATTTAGAATAAAAAAAAATCTAAAAAGTAAAAGGTTAAAAACATAATTTTTTTTTTTAAATAGTAAAATTATCTAATGGTTCAACCGGTTGTTCCACCGGTACCAGGTTTCTGGTTTTAGTAGGTTTTCGCGGGTTTTTAAATCTTGGGTTTTTCACAAAACCCAAACCGGATTTATTCTAGGTCACCGGATTTACCGGTTCAACCACGGGTCCGGATTGAGTTTCAAAACACTGGAAAAAACTTAAAGGATAAAAACCATGGAGAAAATAGAAAATTTTACTTAGAGAAAGAAAATAGTATAAGTGTATTTGTGTTAGACTGTTAATGAGTCCTAGTTGTCTTGAATGAATTTTAAAAATTAATGTGTTATAAGTATGAAATTATCCAATTTTTTATTTGATTAGGTTGTCAACTAACAAATGCAGATTTCTAATGAAGTATGTTTCCGCAATTTTATCAAACATAAAATAGTTGTCAGCTAATTTTGATTACTAGTTATGTTTTTATTTAGCAGAAAATAGATGCTGAAAGAACTGTTGGTAGGATTTACTTTGAATTATACTCTTGAGGTTTCTTGGGAAGTATTTGTATATTTTCTTACTTTCACATGTGTGTCAGTTATTGTTTCGCTTATGAGTGAGTTTGATATAGTCATATATTACATTCAATTTTTTGATTGATTAAACTATATTGTGATAAGTTGATAGCTATACCAATACCATACAAAATACAACTAAAAAGAATACTATGTGTTCCAGAGTGTAGTCTCCTCTTCAAGATCCTCAAAGAATTACATACTGAGGGTCATATTGGTTGGGACCAAATGCTCAAGCTCGTGACGGATTCTTATTTTTTTCAACTCTACACGTGATACTGAAAGATATAGTGGTGCGATGTTGAAAAATATGGGGCACCTGTACAACCTGTCAGAGGGGTAAATGATATGCTTCCAATGGCGGTATTTATTTACCTTTTCCTATTTCGATATCAGTATGCAACTTGTGTTAAAAAGTTCCGCAAATTTGGTAAGGACTCTTAACATTTTCATTGTAGATCGTTTTTTCTAAGATGGTTCATTTTATTACGTGTAAGAAGATTAAGGATGTCGTTCAAGTTTCTTAACTATTCTGTCGGTAGATATATCAAATCATTACATGACATTCCTTTATCTATTGTACCTGATCGTGACTCGTGTTTCATTAGCCATTTTAATGTTCACTTTGGAAGCTTTACAAGACAAGCTTGAACATGAGTTATACGTATCATCTCCAAGCCGATGGCCAAACTGAATTCCTCACTCAATAGGGCTTTAGAAAACATGTTGTGTTGCTTGGTTGGTGATAATCTAAGGTCATGTGATTCTCCATTGTGTCAAGCGGAGTTCACCCATAACCATGCACAAAATTGGAGTCTCACTTATAGCTCTTTCTAGGGGAAAATGGTGTTTTTCGACCCCAACAATTTGGATCGTGTTTTTCTATACCCAAACAAAAAAGATACGTGTTTTTTCATACCCAAACTACGATTCCGTTTAAATTTCCTACCAAAAATTTATTCCGTAACACAAAACCATACATCGGTTAACTTTTCGGTTAACTTCCCGTTAAGCCAACGTTAAATCACGTCGATCGACCGTTGGGATCGACCGACTCTTTCTGGGATCGATCGATCCCATCGTATAGAGCAGTAAATGAAGTTGAAGACATGAAGTCTCACGCGTGTTGTTTCTTTTTTCAGGTTAAACTAATACCCGACGGGGAGTGGGTCTTATCCAGATCCAAACCTGTACCCACGGGTCTACAAAAAAAATATCCAACAGGTTAATTTCAATATACCCGGACCTGTACTCAAACCTGCGATTTCGGGTCGGTTCCGGGCCGGGTCCTCGGGTCCAGGTTAAAATGCCCAGGCCTATGACCAAATCTTACATAAACTTGATAAGATTATCATTATCGTTCATACAACATCATCATTCATACAACATCATCATTCCTACAACATCAGTGTTCATACAACATTAGACTACTCAATTTCACTACAACAAACCATACATAAGCTTGATAAGATTCTTACTACATGATTAATACATGAGCTTGAAGAAGAAAAGCATGACCAAAGAAAACACTATCAGGTTCTTCAAGCTTCGGAGTTGCATTTTACACTCTTGGATCTCCTTCTCAACAACCGTTTCGCAAACCCAAGTCTCCATTGCCAATGTTTCGATCTCATCTTCAAAAGTGTTCATTCCCTTTTGCAAAGAGATCGAGGCTCCTTCGATGTTATCCACTTTTTCAATCAAATCTACAAGTTCTTCATACATAGTCACATCGGTCCATTTAAATGTATGATACCAATCCTGTTACAATATTGAATCTCATATCTGAAAGGGAAAGCATCAAACAATCCACATACATATATATCAACACTTACCCCTTCTGCTCCAAAAGGGCAAGCATGGAACAATCTACCCGGATTCTTCACAGTTCTTGATGTATTCATTACTACAGCTTCCCCACAGCGACATAACTTAGGAATTCCTCTACCTCGGTCACCCATTGATCATGTAGTAAGAATCTTATCAAGCTTATGTATGGTTTGTTGTAGTGAAATTGAATAGTCTAATGTTGTATGAACACTGATGTTGTAGGAATGATGATGTTGTATGAACGATAATGATAATCTTATCAAGTTTATGTATGATTTGGTCATAGGCCTGGGCATTTTAACCTGGACCCGAGGACCCGGCCCGGAACCTACCCGAAATCGCAGGTTTGAGTACAGGTCCGGCTATATTGAAATTAACCTGTTGGATATTCTTTTTGTAGACCCGTGGGTACAGGTTCGGATCCGGATAAGACCCACTACCCGTCGGGTATTAGTTTAACCTGCAAAAAAAAAACAACACGCGTGAGACTTCATGTCTTCAACTTCATTTACTGCTCTATACGATGGGATCGATCGATCCCAGAAAGAGTCGGTCGATCCCAACGGTCGATCGACGTGATATAACGTTGGCTTAACGGGAAGTTAACCGAGAAATTAACCGATGTATGGTTTTGTGTTACGGAATAAAGTTTAGGTAGGAAATTTAAACGGAATCGTAGTTTGGGCATAAAAAACACGTATGTTTTGTTGGGGTATAAAAAAACATGATCCAAATTGTTGGGGTTGAAAAATACCCTTTTCCCCTCTTTCTAGGTCGTGTATAGGTTTGTTCCTCGCGGGCCTTTGACCTTAACATATCTTCCTCAACCATGTGAGTTTCATTTCATTGCCGCACTTTAGAAATTGTTGATGA